ATTATTATTAAAATAAAATAAAAATAAACTTTAGCTTCACTAGATGTTTATGGATACAGAGGTATTTTAAGTATATCAAGAATCCAGTGGAGAAGCTAGAATTGTCCCTGTTGTCTTTATAGGTATTATTTCAAAGTCTACAATATTTTAAAAGCTATAGCAGCTAAAATTAAAAGAACCGTAATAAATTTAAACACTATGAATCCTGAATTACTTTATCAGGCAGTAGACATCCACTTCAGTTCTACAGCCCTTCTACAAAAGGAAAAAAAAGAGGGGACAAATACTGTATTTCCTCAGGGCTTTGGATATATTGTTGAGCATATTGTCATCACACTAAAAACGAACAGTTCTGTATCCTTCCCCCTATCAACTCAGAACGTGACTATACTATTTATACTATATATACATACACTAATTTGATACTGTGTATGGCTGCATGTTGTTCTGTATACAAGAGTATTAGGCTCTTGAAATAGGCAGGGTAACAGATGCACAGATAGGCCAATTTATATTGCACACCAGTGAACTGTACAGTGCGTAAATGGTTCAGAAAATCAAGAAAAATGTAACTTCTTTCAGGCTCTGTGTGACTGTTTCAGGTTCCTCTCTATAACCAAGGCAGCTAAACTAATTGATGTTAAAACACACTAACCAAAACAATCAACAGCCAAGGTCCATCACAAATCTAATTCCTAGTCTGGGATCCTAATGCTCTGCACTTCCTTACTCAGTCTCCTCCAACTCTTGTTCACTCCCATTACATACCGCTAAAGATCTACTTCCTGTGGCAGGCTGTAAATGAGTTTTCCATGAAGCCTTCATTTTCTGGTTAAATGTGGTCGCCTGAGCAATCACTGTTTCTGGACTGTTCTTCCACACCCCACAGGCTTCTGGGGTTGTTGGTGCATGTTGCACCATTTTACCCCTCCTACATTACCCAATAGCATAAAATTTGTAGATACTGTGTAACAAACTTTGTGTTTACATGCTTATTTTGTTTTGAGTTTTCCTAAAAAAAGATTGTTAATTTTATTGTCTGAACATGTGAACAACACTCTGTGCAGTGACATGTTTCCATCAACGCAATAAAAAACTGTTATGTAGCTGGTTTCTAATAAATATTTTTGTTAACTGTTAATTAAAACAAGGCCAGAATTGTTAAAAGAAAGTGGGCAACATGCAAGGTCTCTTTGTATGATGGAACCTTTTTCTGGATCATTTTCAATTTGTACTTCATTATCTGTCTTTATACTCCAGGTGGTCCTTGTTGCAAATGAAACAGCTAAGGAAACAATTCCTGAAGAGCTGACCTTGGCACTGGTTCTCACCATTTATGAAGCTAAAGGCCTGGAATTTGATGATGTGCTGCTGTATAACTTTTTCACAGACTCCCAGGTGTGATTCTGAAAATTGTGGACAAATTTATCTGACATACTCTTTGCATTTTAAATGTATCTGATTTGTATGGAGTGGTTTCACTTGGGAAGTTTTTGCACTTTGCTGACAAAAGCAGTTTATTCATAACCTGTTGTTTTACTAATTAGTAATAGTGGCACAATAACATAAGAAGGTAGTTCTGTTTAGGAATTTGATTTATCTTGTTGTAAAATATCGTTTTGATACTATTATTACTATATTCTATTATTATGGGTCCTCTGTTTGGGGAGGGAGGTGGGTGAGTTGAACAAATTCTAACAAAGGAAGAAAGTGTAAGATTGAGAAACTTCACACATGAATTTCTGTCAGCCTTACTAAAGAATTGCCCAGAAAAACTATTCAAGTACTAACTTTAGATTTTCCAAAACACTTCAGTATGTAAATACTGAATGGAAATTTACCCTTGTGTTGAGAACCTTGGGCATAACACTTGGACATAACAGGTTGCAATTAAATCATGACTGGTTTGAAGACCTACTGTACAACTGAATTGTAGGGGATAAGATAAGGGTATTTCCTGTTTTTGAGGTGCAGATTACAGTTTGTAATTTTTTATTTATCCCGTGTGGTTAGGCTGGAAAAGAGTGGCGTGTGATCTCCTCCTTCAGCCACACCAGTGCAAAGGCATCATCAAGTGGGCCAGTTGTGGAAGTTCCCCTGGAGGAGGCAGCTTCTGTGCAGACCAGACCTCTGGAGTTCAATGCTGATTTGCACAAGGTGCGGTCTGGATAACATGGGTCTTAAAAGTGGAAGCATTCCCTTCTGTCTCTGACTGGTAACTTACTGCATGAGTATCGCTGTATCGAGCTTCTTCAGGTCCCAGAAGGAAAACACCACCAATTTCAATGATTTGAAATTCAAAAAATAATTCTGAGTGGGAATCTGAGATACTGGTTCTTCAGCCCTTATACAACCATATCTCCTAAACAGTTTTCACAGGACTTCAAGTACAGGTGCAGTTTTCCTCAATTATTACTCTGACAACTGAAATTTGTGGAGTGATAATTTTTTAATGTAAAACTCTGAATCCGTCATCTTTAACTCTTTGCACATTTTAATTATTTCTATGATGTGCCAGCTTTGTGTATCCTGTGGAGCAAATAATTATTCCTCATTACATCAGTAATTACAGTTAGTAAATGTGTAATTTTATTGTGTCATTCTCTTGTTTTTGTTTCCTGAAGATGTTGAATGATGAATTAAAACAGCTGTACACAGCTGTCACCAGAGCCAGGGTAAATCTTTGGCTATTTGATGAAAACCGTGAGAAGCGTGGTCCTGCATTTGAGTATCTTATCAAGGGACAGTATGTGCAGGTGGTCAAGACTGATGAAAACACTGGTAAGTTTATGTTAAATCCTGTAAAAAGTATACTCGCATATGCATTTTATTACAATGTGCATGATTGTGATTTTAATAGGTTTCTTCCATGGCTAAACTGTTTGGTCATAGGATAGAAAGTCTTTAGCAAAAGAAGCAAATAAGTAAAACAAAAAGATCATAAGAAGGGCCACATAAGAGAAGAAGTGATTAATTGTTATTTGATACGGATATCTCAGTGAATGAAGAATCCTCCAGTCTCATCATATGTGTTCCAAAACCCACAAGTGCCTCGTCTTCTTAGTAAAATGGCAGAGATTATTTTTAATGCATACTGAAGCAGGTCTGAACATTGTGTGCTTGTTTCATCCCTTATTATTTTACAGATCTTGATGACAGTATGTTTGTTAAAAGTTCAACACAGATAGAGTGGATTGAGAGAGGAGATTACTTTGCAAAACATCAGTGCTGGAAGGTAATTAATAAAACTTTTTTTCTGAATTATTGTAGTGGAGTATTTTGTCATTTACATTTCCCATGAGTTTAAGGACAGTAGGTATCTTATCATTTTCTTTTGATTTGTTTTCTTCCCAGATTATTTAATGTTAGTCATACTACTGCTGCTTATCTGTTATCATTCTACAAACACATTCTACACCACTTTACCTTTGGAATTGACTGCACAGATATTAGAATACACCGACTGAAAAAGTTTTGTCTTTGAGAAAACTTTTCGTTTTTAAAATCGTTTCTGCTAGGGCAGTTAACTTGGCAATTTTCTGCCCAGATGATGCAACTAAGGAATGTATAGTATTGAAGAAATAACATGCAGCATCCAGTCAATAAAGTGACAAGTGATGTTTGGAAGGCTTGTCAGTGTAGGATAGTATTAAAGGATTATAGGATAGTATGGATGTGTAGGATAGTATGATAGGATAGCCAGCAGCCATATCACCCTGCAACTCACAACTGCCAACCCACTGAAGCTAAGCAGGTGTGAGCCTCGTCAGTACCTGGATGAGAGACCTCTGGGGAAAAACGAAGGTTCCTGCTGGAAGAGGTGTTAGTAGGGCCAGCAGGGGGCGCTTACCCTGCGGTCCATGTGGGTCCTAATGCCCCAGTATAGTGACGGGGACACTATAATGTAAACAGGCGCCGTCCTTCGGATGAGACGTAAAACCGAGGTCCTGACTCTCTGTGGTCATTAAAAATCCCAGGGCGCTTCTCGAAAAGAGTAGGGGTTTAACCCCGGCGTCCTGTCCAAATTTACCATTGGCTCTTAGCAATCATGGCCTCCTTATAATCCCCCTCTATGAATTGGCTTCATTACTCTGCTCTCCTCCACACTAATACCTGGTGTGTGGTGAGTGTTCTGGCGCACTATGGCTGCCGTCGCATCATTCAGGTGGATGCTGCATCATGGTGGAGGGGAGTCCCCATTACCTGTAAAGCCCTTTGAGTGGAGTGTCCAGAAAAGCACTATATAAGTGTAAGCAATTATTATTATTATTATTATTATTATTATTATAGTATTGAGACTACTGTATTTTATTGTTTCTAGGTTGCTGCCAAATGCTACCAGAAAGGAGGTTCTGCAGATAAGGAAAAGTTGGCCTTAGCTAATTTTGCAGTTCTTAACGTGCAATACAAGAAAGTCAGTCCCAAGTAAGATGTTTTTTTAACTGAATTTTGAATTCATATTGTACATCTAAGTAAATATGAAGAGAAACTCCAGGTAGGACTAGTGACCACAAGAGGTCAGTGTTGTCTTAGTTAAAATAATATACATCTGCTTCTGAGAATTCTTTTAAATTTAAAACATATTTTAATAAGATTTGCATTTCTAAGCAAGCTAAATCAAACACTGTAACATTTACATTTTTAAATGTTTTCCTAACTGACGTAATATTAATAACAATAGTTATTGAAATTGCTTTTAACATACCTCATTTATTTAAATGTGAGTAAAATGGGAGTATTTTGGGGAAAATATTTGTGTGACTAACCTATAACAGCAATAGAATATTTTCGTGCTATATATTTCCAATAAAAACATTATAATAGTCTGATTTGTGGATAGACCTAAAAAATGAGAAAATTGTATTTCTACAAGCTTATCTACTTTTTCATCTTTTAATAGAGAGATGCAGCTGGAGTACTTGCAGCTGTCCAAGACTTACCTGGAGTGCGGTGTGCCAAAGCTGTCTATGAAATGTTTGAAAAATGCAAAAGAGTACAAGCTGTGTGCACAGCTGTGTGAGAGCTTGGGAAAGGTGAGGCACAGCTGATCCTGAAGGTCATTGTGTTTTGTTTTTCCACAGAATGTCAGAGGAAAAATACTTTGTAATCATATATGCTTCTTTGAGCTTTTATATTAGCATTTGAAAATAGGCAAACTGTGATGGTACAGGTAATGGATCTAGTAAGTAATAAATCGAAAACTTTCTAATGGTGGTGTCAAGTCTCAGTTCTGGTACTGCAACCCAGATGAGAAAAACTACAGCATGACAGATGTTTAATTTAGAAGTTACTGAATATACCTCCTAGTAAAATGTAAATAAACCTAAAAAAATACTCCTAAATCATTTAGTGAATGCACATTAACTTTATTTTATCCTGTTGGTAATCTATTTTACAATGTTTCAGATGAAGGAAGCAGCAGTGTTGTACAGAAAAGCAGAATGCTACAAATTTTCTGCTAAGTGCTTTGAAAAAGCATCAGAGTATGAGATGGCAATGAAAATGTACTGCATGGCAGAGTTATTCGATGAAGCAGCTGAGGTACTGGAAAGGTATGTGTCATTATCCAGAGAACAGAACTGTTCTTACGGGACAATAGCTGTTTTAATTCGTCTGCTTTTCATTAACACCAGTGTTGTTTTTTTACAGGTGGGATCTGAAGGAGACCAAAGTTCCCTACACTGAAAAGTACTTCTACCTGGAGGCCGCTGCCAGATATCACAAACAGAAAAATCTCCCGAAAATGGAAGCATGTCTCTCAAAACTATCTCCAGATGATCAACTGGTTTTCTTAAAAGAAAATGGTTACTTGACTCAAGCTGCTGGGGTTTTGAAAATGTTACAGCGGGAGGAAGATGCAGCTACTTTGATGAGGGAGTATGGATACCTGACCAAAGCGGCAGAATTTTCTAACAGACTGGAGTACAAAGCCGAGTGCCTTCTTGCTTATGCCCGCATTCAGTCACGCGAAAAAAAGCTTGATGCCTTACAGAAAGAAGAAGTAAGGAAAGTGTTAGGAGAAGCTTTACAAATGTTCAGGAAGACGCAGCAGCCATATGGAGAAGCAGAAGTAACTCTGTTGGAAGGCTTGTTCACAAAGCAAATTCAAACTGTCAGGCATGCATTCGAGATGTTTCTGAAAGAAAGTCATACTGCTGGAGCATTGGAGGCCCTCTGCACTCTGCTTAGTCATTCTGTCTTAATGGTCTCCAATTTAAGTCAGTACCTGACATGCATTGCAATGGTGCTGAAGCTGGTCAAAGCCCTGGCAAAACCAGAAAACAATGAAGAGAAAGAAATGGTGAAATCTTGCTTTGACTTCTATGGAATCATTCAAATAGATGATAGCCAGAGCCGTATCCCAAAGAATGATGGAGCAAGGATTTTGCAATTTATTCTCAATGATAATGCAAGCCTAAAAGAAAATACTATATCTGAGCTTACTTCCTACAGGTTAAACACAAATGATGTGAAATCTGTCCTAAAAAGTCACTTGCTGAGAAAATTATACATTTGTGCAAAGGAGATGATCTCTGGTTGTCAGGCAGTTCCAAATGTCTGTTTGAAGTATGTGTGTGGTCTTGATTGCAAGTTGGAAAATTGCACAGATCTTCACAAGCCACTCCAGAGACATGAAGCCAGATCTGCCATCCATTCCAAGGTTTATCTTACAGCTTTGAATGGGATGCTGTTAGAAGCTAAGAAGCTGTGCAAAGAAAACTCTCTTCCTGAAGTTGAAGATTTCCAAAACATTCTGACAGGAGATGAGTATGCATTATGCAAGTCTCTCATCAGGACTGTTTTTCCAAAGCATTTTCACCAAAGAGTTGTATCTGACAACAGTGTTGCCTGCAAAGAGATCCTTTCATTAACACAGAATGTACCATTTGAGAGCTACAGAATGGTTCTGAGGGATTATATCTCAAAACGATTTAAAGATGAAAACGATTTCATCAGGAGAGAATCAACTGATTTGTGGCTAGAGGCGACAAAGGTCTACCTCCTGTCTTCTGATTTCCCTGACAAACTGGATAAATTGCTTTCTAAAGAGGAGAATCTTTACCAGAATGAACTGAACACAAACACACAGAGAAAGGGCAAAGCTGGGATGTTACAAGTTACAAAAGGTAAACAACAGCACTTTAACTTCTTCCGGCTTTTCCTTATGATGATTCGGGAACTTTACAAGAACCCTGAGCAGTGCATTCACACATTCTATCGTTTTCTGAATGTGCCAGTCAGGAAATGTAAACAACATATGATTCCAGACATTGGAAATACAGTCATGCTGATTGAGTTTCAGTTTGTCTTGACCTGTGCTTTTCTGATGCACTTTTGCAAAAACGTGGTAGTATGTTTGCCAAAGAGCTATCTTGCGCTCCTTCATTTCTGGGAATTCATGCTGAAAAATAAGCCATGGTGTCATGTGGTGCATTCTTATAAACCAAGGGATGTACCACATTTCATAAAAAAATTGAAAAGCCATCTTTGTTACCTTGCTGAAGTAATGAGTGGTCATGTGAATGAAGATTTCAATGTCTTGGTGGACGCCTTTAGTGACTCAGAATACACTGGCTCAGGTGAAGCTGAGAGATCTGCAGTGCTGTGTCTGGTGATGCTTGTGAATGCAGGGCAAGTCCTGGATTCCAGATGTGAAACCTATCTTCGCTACAACTTCATAACAGCAAAGGAAGAGTTGATGAAACTCCAAGATCCAGGTCAAGTCTCCAAGAGGATCATGCGTGTTGTTAACAGTGTAAATACATCCAGAAATATCAAAGATGTGGTCGAAGCCCTTGAGGTATTGTTGAAGGAAAGGGATGATGAGTACCTTATGGATTGCAGGTGGGACAGTTTTAATAAAGATATCCATTTCAGAACCGTCACTGTCGCTCGATTCAATTACATTTTGCTACCCATATCCCTGTCCTCCCCATCCTCTGATAAAAGTCCTGCAGCTGTTTATGAGGAAGATATTGAAGAATCTGAATACCATCTGCAGGTATTGCGTGCAGAGCAGCACAGAATTAATTGGAGGGTAGCCATCAGAAAATGCATTTTGGTAAACAGGGCGATAGCCATAATGCAAGATAAATCAGGGGATGGACACATTAAACGGATGATCCCTAAAAATTTCATTAAAGCTGACATTGACACTACACAGTGTGACTTGTGTGGCATCAGGTTTGGGAAGAATTTGGTAAAACCTTCTGATGAGCAAACTGGGGAGGAGCTAGAAGAGGAAAACCTTGAAACTGAAGAAGGGAATGAAGAGCATGATCAAGTGGCAGACAACAATGAAATCTCATTCAAAGAAGATTACCAAACACACTTGTCTAGTGAGAAACATAGACTACAGCAGGATTGCTATGAGAAGTACTTGCACTATTTTGCTGAGCATGCAGACCCTTTAATCACAAGTTCCAAAAAGGTTCTAGAAGATCTAGATGCCCAAAAAGCAGGCATTTTTTCTATGGGAGAACAGTCAAAGGTTGTGGAAGGAAAACTGAAGAATTCCCTTCAAAACGTCATGTCTTCCATGGAGAGTATCTACAAGACTAAAAACTGGGCCTCAGGTAATACACATTTTACAATTTTTACAATATAATACTATTATAATATTTAGCATTTTATATGTAGGTATCAGTTTGTAGTAGATGTATTGTGCTTTTTATACTTTTTAATGTGACTCAGTTAACTGCATGAGTTTTATCTCAAAGTATTACCTCCTTGTTTAGAAAAATGCTTCTTTTACTCCAAACTAAAAGATGGCATGAACTGTGAAAGTTTTAATAAAGAATGTAGAGCAAAGCTGATGCAATGTGAGAGAGAAGCTCATTGGAATCAGAAAGCTATTTGTTATGATTAATGTTTTAGGCATATGCAACATTGTAAATATCATTGCACATTATTTTTCCAAAGACACTTGATGCAGATACCTTTCTTTGGAACTTTTATTTTTTCTTAGGCATTGAGAAACTGTCCCAGAAAATTTCATTTCTGAGTGCGGCACTGCATGAGGCTAAGGAAGATCTGAGACTAGCCGAAACAGGAATGTATGCAAATGAAGGTGTGTGAGTATAGTCATGTTTGTAATGGAGATGGTGTTTGCACTCTTTCTTAGAGTTTTAACATCTTCCACAGTCTTTGCTTGAACTCAGTAAATATGGAAAAGAATATTGTTACCCTCAGAAGTGATTCATTTAGTCTCTAGAATCAAAATGAAAGACCTTTGTGTATCATATGGAATATCATTGTGTACCATAGAGGAATGTGCTACGGTGTTTGAAAGAAAATCTTTATAGGTATACATTGCTGAGATGTCCTTTACTGGAAACACTGGAGGTGTCTAGCTATACATTTTTATTAAAGTGAAATGAAAATTGTCTTATGGCAAATTTTATTTCTATCTTTATCATACTTAGCTGTTTTAATAACAGTTATTATACTAAAATAAATCAGTATTTGAGACTTTCTATAAATTGTTGGATTAGATGCATCTGTTGTAACTTCTAAGACTTCAGCACAGCAGTAACTAAATGGTGATTCTACCACAACATCATTACTGCAAATTCCTTTTTTTAAAATTAACAGGAACCGGAGACTTCAAAGACAACAGTTTGGAAGATGATGCTGTTGATGAGCCTGAGAAGTTTGAGGAGCTTACTCACAATAAAAAGAGGAGAGGCAAGAAGGGGAAATCTGGCAAAAGAAGAAAGTATTGATGCCTGATGTGTGGGAAAGCTAAGCTGCAAAGCCATGGACTACACAGTTCTTTAAAGAACTTGTAACAGCCACTCAGTACAAACAACCTAACAGCCGAACAGCTAAACTCATTCTCATGTATTTTAGATTTCTACAGTGATCTTCAGCTTCATTATAATCTTAGTATTATTTTATTATTTGCTTAGACAACAGAAAACTGTCTTTTTTACTTTTTAAGAAATGATAAATATACTTTTTAGAACAATTCGGGACATTTTTTAATAGTTTCTCATCACATTCATTTGAACTTTACTGTATTTCTGTTTTATATTCAGTATTTCTGTAAGGAGACCTTAATTTAGTCATGCTTATGTACAGTTATATTTATAATTTCAATTTGTCTTTATTTTTTGTTGAAGAATATTGATGCCATTATGGCATTTTTTTCTTTATGCTACTGCTGATAGGTACAGAAAGTACACAGTGTTCCTTTCAGTAAATGTGCAGGATGATCTGAATACAAGTTTGTTCTGATTTCATTTGAACTTGACTTATTATACTTAACGTTTGGAAACAACAACTTAAGTGATTGACTTATTTTTTACATACAGTATATATTCAAATGTTAGTCAGAAATAAATCTGACAAGTTCTTTAATATAAATGTTCAAAACAAAATGTTCTAGTGAACTCTATTTTTTATATCTTTTATAGAATAAACAAGTAGTTCCCTTTCAAACTGTGATATTACTACAGAAGTAGAAAATAACTGATTCTATATACTATAAAGACAATTACAATTATCAACAGCAAAAGATCTAAAGATCTAAACATTGTATTGAACAGTTCTGTTTTCTTTAAATGATGATCATTCATTGGTATTTTGAGAATAAAGTATTTGACTGAAGTTTAATTTCTCTAAGGCTTATGGAAAAAACGCTTAAATCGCATGAGCAACTAAGTATTTCATATGCTAGAATGAGGTTAGAAAGACAGTGTTAATTTTATGCATTACTCTTTTATAGTTAAAATACAATTTAAAGCTCTCTGTACTGTGTAAAAGTTTGTAAATAACCAGGCACTGTAAGAAAATTGATCATTAACACTAATAGATCCTGATTCTAAAAGGAATATTAGGAGCCTTTATATCCAGTAACCTGTTTACAATCCCTAATGAAAATGTTTTTACTTCTCTTTAAGCATAAATAGAACTCAAAACACACATGTGATTGTAATGGATATATAAGAAACAAGTGGTTATCCTTCAAATTCTTTGTCAAATTAAGAGTTTAGGAGACAAAAGTTTTAAAAAAAGCTTTGTTTTGTTTCTACTAGACCTCAGCACCAGGATGGGCATTACTTCAGATCCTGAAAGACAAATGCATTCTGAACTCTGAGCTAACAGAAACCAATGGAAACAGACCCATGCAGAGAAAGGCTAACAATTTTAGAAGAAAGAAACAAATCACTACCCAGTACCCATGTGATGTTCTTTAAATTGCGCTTGAAATTGCAGGAACTGTCCTGCTTTGACCTTGTCAGCCCAAATCAGTCATTTGTTTGCCCTTGCTCCTATGAAGCTAAAGAGGATTCCATTGGGAAGGGCATACCACATTATTTAAAAATACTGGCTTTAAATCTTTATATGGGATTGGATTTCCAGTGATTTGCATCAGTCACTTCACTTAATGCTGGGTTTTTTATCATGAATAATCTCTTAATCATGATATGTTTAAGTGGTTTCCATGCAATTATGGGTCATGCATCAGTATACTGTACATTTATCCTCTCTTTGTTGTCATTTTATTTTGCACACAATGTTACTGTGATGGAAGATCCAACACTATTTTATTCCAGCAGATGTAACTGCAACCTTTTGTATTGACTTCAACCTGTTATAGCCAAATTGGTCCATTTAAGCCACTGACCACCTGGTTATGCTCAATAAGTTGGAATGAAGACCTGCAGTACATACCAGCCCTGCAGCACAAGAAAGGAGAATGGAATACCCCTACCTTATTGTAAGACATGATCTCTGCTTTAGTTTAGGAGAACAGGGAGGCTGTGAGCTCTGTGATAATGTAGATAATGTAACAGTGAAACAAATACCTGTAGCTCTGTTCTTTCCAAGATACAGTCTTAGTCTTACAATCCTCGCCAGATGTTTATAAAGATGGGGAGAATCTATTGTAATAAAGAAGGTATTTATAACACTGATGTGATACCTGTGAAGGCCTATTGAACCTCACTTTTCAAGAACTCTGTAATACAGCAGCTGTTTCACCAAATGTTAAAGGATAGGTATTATAATTATAATGACTAATTAAATGGGTATACTTATTTATAATAATAATTGAGCTGTGTTCATCACCATCAGCTGTCTTGGCGGTGTGGATGGACAAACCAGATGGCACCATGTAATTTATGTTTAACATGATTTTTGTTTGACTGTTGAATGTCCCTTATGCCACTCATCATTCATGACATCCTGCCTTCATGGAACCATGGTCTATGCTTCATCTTCATTAAGGGTATTGGTACGTACCCATGAGAAGAAAACGCATTGAATTACAAGTGAATGTTTTCTCCACATAAAGTTGCATGGGCAATAAGTCTGGTAAAGGGATTAAGGTGAATCTGGAGAAGACTAAAATCATCAAAGTCCATCAAACAACATATTGAGCTCAATAGATTTCTAGGACCGTTGGGATGGTATCACAAAAGTATTTCAAGAGCTTGCTGAGAACACCTTTAAACACCCTGAAGAGGAAAGGGGTAAAATGAAAAGGTCTGAAGCCTGTCCAAAGGAGCTTGAATCTCTTTAAATATACTGTACTACCCTTATGTCCTAGCACAGCCTGATTTGGCACGGCTGAATCCATTTTACTTAGTATAGTAAATACTGTAAGTAGTTAAATATGTAAAAATTGTGAACTGTTGTACTTCAATGAGGTATACTGTAGATAAATTCAAGGAAATGCAAATCTCTTTTGGCTGTCACCTTTTATCTTTTCAAGTGTTTTCCTTTATTTTCTTTGTTATTGCAAACCTTGATACTCTTGCAACACATTAAACAGGTTCTTAGAGGACTGTCCAATAAATTGGCATATCAAAAACACTCAAAAATGGAAGAATGTAAAATCTTGAAATTGTTGAAAAGGTGGACATGCCAAATTCTACTTTATTCAAAGACTACACTGAGTGCTGTGAAGCTCATCTCAAGACTTACACTGTCTAAAAATGTTTCTAGATTAGAGAAGGATGGATATACAGTAAATGGGAATTAGGTTTCTCATAGTGAAGTGCTTTGCCTTTTACAGTTTACAGCTTGTGAATGCCTAACATACAGAGCTATAGCATGCTCTAGCAGTGGTAGGTGAAGTGTATCCTTTCCTCCATTTAAAGTACTTTTGGATCTGGTAGGATGAAAAGCCCGATATAAACAAATTATTATATAATATTAATCTTTTAGAAATATAAAAAGGTTAAGTAAAGATGGAAAGTAAGTGAGTTATAATTCAAATTATTAAAATTACATGAAGATTTTTAAAAGATCCTCAATTATTTTTTCTACTTGTGTTTCTGTTGTGTGTGGTTTATAGTAAACACAAGAATATTGAAGAACTGCTCCCACATCTATTAATCTATGCTTTGAATACTTAGCTTAATTTAGAAAATGAGTCTAAGGTCTAATTTATATTAAACATGATTATTTCAATAAAAAAATAATATTTTTATAGTTTGAAATGTGATTAGTCCATTTCCATGTTTAATAAACATAATATATACAATATGCTGTGCCTCACCAGACATCTGTTTTTCCTATCTTTGGCTTTGATTTGTCATTTCCTACTGTACATATTATACTTGATTTACTACAGTACCTCTCTGCATTATCCCATCAAAATACAGTAAGCAAGAAGCGGAAAGATAAAAAAACTGCCTGTACTGTAGGTCTGTGTGTTTAGAATCTCATCTTCTTGCACAGTTGTTGAAATTCTTAGTTTAAAATGGAAAACTAGTACATAATAATGAGAAAAATTAGACTAATAATGTGATATTAAAGCAATACTACTGTATTATTGTTCTGCATCATTCTGCTGCATTACAGTATGTTCATTAAGGTCTGTTTGTCTCGGGTTGAGGTACAGTAACTCTTTCTTCCTTTTGAAAGAGAAAAATGATTCGAACCTCCTCCTCCTAAGATTGCCTTACTCTTCACCTGGTCCTCTGGGCTGTCAAAGAAATTGGGGCACACACCACCCAACACTGTGGATGGAGTTAACTGGTTGCCTGGAAGCAGAATACAATCCCTCAGCACCCAGCAGTGAAGCAAGTTCACTGGGGAGGCCTTTACAGAGGTGAATAGAGAGAAACTGGGAACGTTTGCCACAGAGACTTTTTTTAGTCAGGTAATCAGGTAGAATTTTTCAGTGTATCTGTTTTTAACTTTTTGGAAGATGTGAAGATGTCAAAAGATAAAAAGAAGCGTTGTAGCTTTTCAATATATTCTAATTACTAATAATGTCTTCAGAAACAATATCAAAAATGTCCCAAGAAAAGCAGCATCACAAGACCCAAACAGGTACTGGCTTTTTATGTATTTATTATTTGTGATTTACTGTGTTTTAAATATTTTTGATTGATTTCACATGTTAAGGAAGAGTACCATATAATTAAAGCAGAGGAGTGAAAAAGTCAACAGTTGGGAGGAAAAACATTTCTAAAGAATTGTTTTGCCTGAAAGGGAAACACAGACCAAAAATACTAGTAAAATCTTACAAATAAGATTTCAAAACCTTTACTTTTAAAGAGCTTAGAATAGTAATGCCCCTTTTAATGTAAATTGATAATATTTTTTCACGTTCCATAGATTACTAATCACATTTGTAATTTTTTTTACTAGACTAAAACGTTCATACAGTATGTCAAAAACAATTTCCATGCAGACGCTGAAATATTCAACTACAGTTATAAAGTGGAAGAGATGGTGGTAATATGTACAAAACAATTCATGCTATTGTTATACTCATGTAAAGTATTCCAGAAAGTGTTTTTTTTTGCTTTATAAGTATCTTATAAGTAACTCAATATGATGCTGCTTTCTTTTTTTTCTTTTGATAGCTAATTGAACTCTTGAATTGAAATCTTAGTTGATAGATTACTTTCTTTCAAGTTATTTCTTCTTTCATTGTTCCTAAATATTGCTGGTACAGTAAATACAATAATTATTTATGATAACACTTTGTTTTGTCAAAGAAGGTTTGGAAATCCAATGAACAATGTATTAAAGTTCTATCTTGTAAATAACAAGAAATTAGATATGCAGAAAATTATCTTCGAAGGCTGAGGAACAAATATATTACAGGAAACATCCATTAGACACCTGTTCTCTTTCTCTTTTTCCTTTTTCCTCTGCTCAATCTATGATCAATCAGAACAACTATTAAGGTTTTTTAAGAAATCAAAATAGCTTTTTTATGTATATTGTATAAAAGTGGGCATTCGGAAGTGGGTTAGTGTTTAGATAATTAATAAACACACCAGGGTTCATCTGATTTTTGGCATAACCACTGATAAACAGCTCCTGTACTGAAGCATTAGCACTACAGAAGTCTAGCAGCAGAGTATTCTATTTGTACATTGTCAAACACAATCACCAATGCTTTTATCTGTCTTTCAGTGCTCTTGATCCCTTTTGATGAAGCCTTGAAAGGTTCTTTTGTTTTCTAAATAATACACATGAGCACGTTTGTTGTCACTCTGATGCTTGGTGTTATTGTGGCAGAGTGTGTGTGGGTGGGCATGGATTTGTCAGTCTGCGACTTTGTGGTGACAACAATTGGAGGGTGCGGATTGTAATTTTGTGAAATGTTTTTTCTTGAGCAAAAATAATTATATTGAGTTCATTTGCTAAGTTGAATTAAAGTTGAATTGATTTTATATTTGAGTGCATTTTTTCCCAGCAATACCTTTGAAAGAATACTAAATGAACATTTATTAGGACGTGTTTTTATAATATACTGAGGAAATCACTGGCTCAAATATTTTCTTTTAAAAAAAGCTTAATGGCACTAAGAGCTCATGGGATCTGGCTTGTCTGTGCTAATGGGAAATGACTGAGTATGCCTGACCTACAGAAAGTTGCTAAATGGCTTACTTATTAGAGCAATTAACATTAGCATTAAGCCTTGACCGTGGCTTCACAGAGATAATCACCTAAGTCTTGTTGTGTATTTCACCACTCAGTCCAAGTTAAAAATACGAGTTGCTACTGAAGATTACAGCTGTGTTTTACAGCAGTAAAAAGATTATTTCATTTTGGGTGACAAAGGAAATGTATTAGAAAAACAACAACAAAACAAATAAAAATGGGGTAACTGGACTGCCTAAATTCCAAATAGGCATATCCATATTAGCCTTTAATTCAGTTACAAAAATGTTTTTACACTTCTCTGGTCTGCTGTGTAGTGGGGGCTGCTGATACCTAACGGCAGCTGTACATTTCACAAATGGGTGTTGCATATCAATGGTTAATGATGTAGGTCCCCTTCTATATGGAGTGTTTTATGGAACCTAGGGATAGAATGTGCTATTTAAATGACTTTCAATAGTATATCTTAGTACAGTATATCTTATAAACAAGCTAAACTTCAGTAATTTCAGTAAGAATTAATATCATTATACTTATGAAAATATTTCTACAACTGAACCTTTGTGTCCAGTGATGTTTATCATGATTCTCATTTTTAAAAGGTTATCTGTAGATAAAATAAGTAGTAAGACTTATGACAGTCTTGATAAACATTTTTTAAATTATAAATTTAGAAACCATAAATATGTGGAAACAATCCTGGATTAATGATTTTGGACACAAATGAGTAAAATACACTGAATGTCTTTTTCTCATTAGTACATTTTTGGCTTTTCTAACTTTTTTGTGGTTGATTTTGTTGTGAACGTTTTTATAAATGTTTCATTTTAAATGAATTGTTACTGATTTAGTTTATGTTCTGATGTAATAGCAACATAAACATTCTCTTATTGTCCAGATTGTATTGCACATAAAAAAACAAGCAGTAAAACAGTAGTGTGATAATGAAGTATATGCAGTATAATTGGTAAAATGACCTTAGCCTACAAGTGTCATGAACGAACGGGAAACTAGACCCCTGCAGTTCTGTGCAACTGATGCTCTACATGCAGTACACTATTACTTGAATGTTAAAGGTAGAGTTTTTTAGGAATAAGTCAAAATACCTGTTGTGTAATCAAAAAAGACACTATCACAGTAACTACTAAAACAAGTAAAGGACTAATTGAGAAAAAAAAAAACATGGCCTTTAGTTTAATTGAGCTATTTGATATAATGTGAAACCAATTAGCTAGAAGGTAATCTCAGGCTGCATTGAGGATCACTTCCAGATGAGTTGTTATCTACAGTATATTGAAGCCTGGTAAAAGAAATAATAATAAATTATTTAGAGGTTCTGTGAAGGTTCTTTTTTGACTCCTGACTCCTCTTCTCACGTTCACTTTAGGAAGCCCTGTGAAAAACAAATGTTATAAATCTGGGTTGGCATGCTCCTGTTTTACTGGGCCTTATACATTACTGTCTGTGAGGTGAAAGATCGCCTGCGTCACAGACGTCTTAGTAGTGTGATTTGCTTCTGTAACCAGACCAAGAGGCAGCTGTGACAGCTGTGTTTATACGTACAGTATGTCAATAAATAATTAAGTGGTAGTGAAACATACTGCAAGGATTCAGTGAAACACAACTAATGCTAATTTAACCATAAATGTTTCAGTTCTGTTTAAACCATAATACCTGTCAAAGTACCCAATGACTCAATAGTATTTTATACACATTTTGTATTTGTATTTGTATGTTGTATTTTCTCATTTTCACTGAGATGAATGGCCTTTTCTGTCTTATAAATGTCGAATAAGGTTTAAATTGACTATGAATTAATGCCTAGATTACTTCAAACATTGTGACAGTTTTTATTTTTACTTTTTATTTTACTTTTCATTCTTCCTCCATTTATGATTTACATACTCATCAAAATGTTTGGCTTGGTGTATAAGTCAAGTTATTAAAACAAATGTCATTTTTCTTAGGAACTTTTAAAGCAATGATATAGTTATAGTTATTTAAGTTATTTAAGATCTGTTTCATAAATGAACTCCCTATGAAAATGGCAAGTGCATGTGCATGGCAAGGGAAGCAAACAATCATTGTTTTCATTGATGATGTTTCTTCTGATGTACTCAGCTAAACTTTCAATGTAGTTTTTATCAGTACTATCCCTTTCGTATTTTTGTGCTTTGTTTGGAGACGAAAAGGATACTTGATAATCATTCTGTACTGTTGCCAAGCAGCTTTTGAACTGGCTCTGGAAATTTGTACTGGGAATATTGGTCATTCAAACAGCATTCTCGCTGCCTTGTAGTTGTGTTGCTAAGGTCCTTGTTTAAAGATATGTTCCATGCAGGCTGTGTTTATTTAAATTTTGACCACTTTTGTGTTAAAATATAGTAGAATTTCATCTTAGCGGCTCTCAATAATCATTGTGGTTGAAAAGTAAATGCGCCATTTGAGTTAAATATTAAACTCTAACCTATGGTTGGAGGATGAAATCTGTGACAACAAATCAGTCAAGATGTCAAAGACGTTCTGAAATAAGGAGCTGTCCAGTGTTTAGATAGGATCTCATGTGAACCTTTCCTTGTGACAGTTTTAAAATGTGGTTTATACTGTATTAGTTGCACTAGTTTAAGAAATACATTAGTTTATTGAACATTTTACCATAGCCCATTTACAGTACTAAAAGGTATTGTCAAGCCTTGTGGCACTATGTTTTTAAAAACATTAAGGTATTAACAGGTTAAAACATTCAGGTAGCAAAAAAAATTGTAGTTGTAATGTACAATCTAGATTAAATCTACTATTTTATTATAACAGATAATTGGGTGCTATGCTGTAGCCCATTGTTTCCAGAAAGCACAGGATGCAAGAGGGTTAATTCTCTCTGAGTCTCAGGACTCCACCCATAGGGATTATTCAGTGTCCTTGAAGCTTCTTCTCCCCTCACAATGTGACATGCAGACTTTAGGGCACAAGAGGAGTCTGTATAGATACCCTAAGTCTTTCTGTACACTGTCAGGGAATGCAGTTCGGTGTTATTCAGTTAATGTGTCTTCGGATAGAGGTAAATCTGCTTCACTACCATGCCAGCCTTCAAGGAGCAGGGTCCTAGTGAAGTGGCAAGTCCCACCTGGAGGCAGTCGGGTGAGTTACTGTCAGTGTTCTATGCTCTTTCCTAATGCCTGTTATAATGCTATCTGGCAATTTTCTTGCACTGATTTAGAAAATGCATTAAGGAATTAATGAAACAAATATTTGATACAAATGGTAACTTTATCTTCCATTACCTTTTAGATTATTTTATCTCTTCATCTCTCAGAAATCAACAATAAAATACTGTATATACAGCAAAAGCCATGAAAAAGACAATTTAACTTAACATATTAACTAATTTTGTACTGTAGATGTATGATAAAACATTTTGTAAAATAGCATGT